ATCATACTATCATCTTCTTCATCAATACTCGTTGAACGATCACTTAATATATCTCTAAAGTCATCACTATCACTTTGATTTAATGATTGATCTTCTTCCATCCTCCATATTGTTTCTCTATACTCTTTATCCATTTATCTTTTCTTAGTTTTTTGTTTTTTTCTAAAATTTTTATTTTTTTGTTATTCTTCTTTTTTTTTTTCATCTTTAAAATTATGTTGTATTTTTTTCTCTTTTTAATTCTATTAATTTATTTAATTTTCATGTCACTCCTAAACACTCTTTTATTTTAACAACCTATTCATATCTTTAGAAATGTCATTACCTCTTATTTCTTCTTTGTATACACTGTATTTGTTAAAGTCAATCCTAAGAGTAGAATAAAATAACTCAATTCCTATATTGTGATGAAAACAAGTTAGCATTGCCAGTAAGAACTCTTTCAAATGATTAGTTTGTTTATTATTCTTAAAAATTATTTAAATAAATAACTTGAAATAAACAATAACATAAATCATTCTTAAAAACAAAATATTCATTTACTAAAAAACATTAATAAAAGATTTTAATAGAAGAATTTGGATCTTTGCTCATTTAATCAATGAGCGTTAAAACAACATATAGTGATATAAGAAAGTTTATTAGTCAAATAAACTCAAGTCCCACTGTAGAAAAAGAACGTGAGGTTATTCAAAAAGAGCTTGCAAAAATAAGAAATGAATTTTCAAATCCAAAGATAACAGCTTATGATAGAATGATTTGTTCATATAAGTTGGCTTTTATCAGTACATTAGGGTATGAGGTAGATTATGGGATGGTTGAAGTTATTATGTTGTTAGCTAATTCAAAATTTATTTATAAACATGCTGGATATCTAACATTTTTAAGTTGTTATAGAAATGTACCTGGAGCATGTAGTTTACTGATCAACACAATGCAACATGACCTTCAAAATACAAAGGATGAAGTGATCTGTGAAACACTATCAACATTAGCTGTTATTTCAGATGCACAAATAGCAGAAGTGGTTGGACAAATTGTAATGAAATTAGCATTTAA